GTGTGGTAACAGTAAAGGTCTGCACCAAGCATCCGAACACCAGCAATCACAACACTGTAAACTCCTAAGGTATGTAAAATCAGATATATTTCATAACATGCATGCATGAAGTCAGGAGTGTGTGCTCATTGCTAATGGCTTTTCGCCATTTTTTTAGGGTGGTTTCCCTTGGCGTCTTTAATCGCTGCCAACAAACCTACCAACAAGACCTTCTCCTCGAAGGATTAGAAGAACCCTGACGATGATGTACTGAAGTGGTATTTTGCTATTTAGTTCCTTTCCTTAAAGCATACAAAGTAGTGTATATTTTGTGTGCATACATTGCATACAGCTTCCAGTGACACATATACATACAATATAATTAAAGAATAAAAAAAATGTATAAAGATATAGATACGCTGCGACAGAATAAACATACAGATGTGCAAGGGCAAATGCAATCTGCTGAAGAGGTACTGATGTGTACAGGTAATATGAATAAATAGAAATATTGCTATATATATATATATATATATATATATATATATATATACATTTTCATTCACAAATTCCAAGAAAAAAATGCTGCTGCAATTAGTTATAGCATCTTAGAATTTGTTGAGATAATATATACCAAACTAAACTAAACTAACGTTAACTAAACTTTTAAATCAAACATGAACACTTACTGTTTTAAGTTGAAACAATGCATTATTTTTATTCTAATGTTGAATTTAAGTTGTGATAACTAGATGCAATTTTTTATTATTAATATGTATTGACAAAGAAACAGCAAGACAATGAATTTTGAAGTAGAAAGATTTACTCCAATAATAATTTTATTAACAACATTTTGTTGGTATTACCAACGCTATCTCACGACCAATTCGTACGTATTTTAAGAGGTGGCTAATTCGTACGACCTCACTCGTACTATTTTGTACGATTTGTCTAGACCCCAGTGACGGGTAGGTTTAGGGGCAGAATTAGGTGTAGGTTATTCGTACAAATTCATACGAATTGTGCAATTCGTAAAATATGTACGAATTGCCGTGAGATCGGGCTGGTATTACTTACTGACATCTAAAATTAAATTAAACCTTATTTTTGTTTTTATTTGTTTGTGGAACACCCTTGGTTAAAGTTAGAATATAAAAACTCTAGGGGTAATTGATACTGTGCTTAAATATTCTTTCCACCCAGTGTAACAGGCCCTTCGAGTAACATTTTGACTGTAAGAGTCATTGTCCCCATCAGTCCCTGGCATTCTGCTCATGGCTAGTTCTGCCCACTCCTTAGCAGTGGGAGGCACACAAGAAGAACTGTTTGTGCCACTAACAAGGGGAGGTAAAGACACACGAGGGGTCTCATTGCAGCTGCCACAGTTCACCTTTCACATTCACCTCCACTTTTCAACTGCCAGCACTCTCCAGGTGGACTATTCAATGCCTCTTTGCAAGCTGTGACCTAATATATAAGAGCAAACCCCATTAGAATGAATTGAAACAGTTGTTCTTATGCTGTAAAACTTTGTGCACTGTCCATTATATAAAGACTTTAGATGCAAATGATAAAATGTCAACAAATAGGTAAGTATTCTAAATATGTGCAAAAAAAACAAACAAGTGCATAGTATCCTAGAAAGTTTAGTCACCATTCGTTTAATGTGATTTGATGCATGCTATCGCTAATAGCAATTAATAATTTAGATGAAGTGACGTCCTCATTCTGGAAAGCATACAAGACAATAATGTGGATATGAGTCAAGGTCATCAATATTTTTAGCCTTTTCCCAAAGAGAAAGACTGTAAATTTGAAATGTTAAAAGCTACATGCTAAAAGGTAGGCTACTTGTGTCAGCTTTGAAGAGTACACTAGCACATGGATGACCTCAAATCTACCAGATGCTAAAGATTTGACTCCAACACCATGATCGACTCAATACAGTATCGCTTAATAGCTGTTTAAAGTGGTCTTGGTGGTTGTTTTTGCAGCAGGTGTCATTTTAACTTTATGGCAGCAATGTTAACCCTAGACTGCAGTGACCAGCAAGGACATGGTGTAACAGCGTATCATTTCCTCAAAAGATTATGATTAAACCACCAAAACAATGGGGTTTGGTTCGCTAGCCAATTTCTTACCACAAAATTTGGATATTGTTTACTGCTAAACAGCCATTTCTAAATACGTGCAAAAAAAACAAACAAGTGCATAGTATCCTAGAAAGTTTAGTCACCATTCGTTTAATGTGATTTGATGCATGCTATCGCTAATAGCAATTAATAATTTAGATGAAGTGACGTCCTCATTCTGGAAAGCATACAAGACAATAATGTGGATATGAGTCAAGGTCATCAATATTTTTAGCCTTTTCCCAAAGAGAAAGACTGTAAATTTGAAATGTTAAAAGCTACATGCTAAAAGGTAGGCTACTTGTGTCAGCTTTGAAGAGTACACTAGCACATGGATGACCTCAAATCTACCAGATGCTAAAGATTTGACTCCAACACCATGATCGACTCAATACAGTATCGCTTAATAGCTGTTTAAAGTGGTCTTGGTGGTTGTTTTTGCAGCAGGTGTCATTTTAACTTTATGGCAGCAATGTTATTCATTTAGACTTTGTTAGATATAAAAGTTGTCTTTTTTAATGAATGGATTGTCTAATAATGTATATTAATAATAATGCATGATTACTGCACAGAGGGAATCTGATGTCCTTCCAAAAAGGTGTTTATTTTAATTTTTTCAGTCAGTTAATAAAAGGACTCAGAACTATCTATGTGCAGCAGTAAATGACTTTGTCAAGCAGATGGAAGAGGTACTTTAAGAAGTAATTGTAAGTGTCCTAAAGATAGCTTTGAATATAATCGCCAATGCAGTTGTCCAGAAAATTGTATTGGGTGGACCAGGCATGAAGTAGAACAAATAAAATACTTAAAATAGAGTAAAAAGTGAGGGAATAACCATTGTGCCATTTCAGAATGACTAGTTTATATAAAAAAACACCTCAAACAACTACAAAAAGGTGGTGTTGGGAACAAAGTAAACGGATGCTCAGCACCATGCTTCCACCTAGTGCAGTGTTACGGTAGTGCATGGACTCAATCCCTTGCTAAGTCACTTTAATATTCTATGTAGAAAACAGAATGTATGGATAAGTAAACCAGCAATTGTATTTATTTTATTTTTTTTGGTAAATAAAAAATGCTTAGTGGTGTATGCTGCTCTACTTGGGCTTTAGACATGAATGATACATCAAATGTTGTATGGTTTGTTGAGAATAGGAGTGTTTTTAGTTTTCTGACTTACCTTTTTTGCCTGGTAGACCCTTACCAAAAAGTAGTATACTTCAAGTTTATTTTATTAAGATTTATTTTATTTTTTTTGGTAAATAAAAAATGCTTAGTGGTGTATGCTGCTCTACTTGGGCTTTAGACATGAATGATACATCAAATGTTGTATGGTTTGTTGAGAATAGGAGTGTTTTTAGTTTTCTGACTTACCTTTTTTGCCTGGTAGACCCTTACCAAAAAGTAGTATACTTCAAGTTTATTTTATTAAGTATACTTAAGTAAAGTTCAAGTATATTTAAGTATACTTTAAGTATAACAGTAGTAAACTTTAAGTACACAACTAGTTTACAACAATATTTTTAGCTTGTACCGCAACTATACTAAAAGTGAACTTATATGAATACTGGTAGTTTTCTCATTAAATACTTGTAGTAGCATTTTTACTACACTTTGAAGTATAGTCTCAGTAACCTACTAGTAAAGTTAACTTAAAGAAAACTTACGAGTATACTTGCAGTATAAAACTACTTGCAGTATAAAACTACTACTAAAGTAGTTTTATACTGCAAGTATACTCGTAAGTTTTCTTTAAGTTAACTTTACATCACACTTTAAGTATACTACTATGTCCCTATTTAGTTATTAATTTGTATATATTTTGTTATATGAATATCTGAACATACAAAACACCAAAAGAAAGAACAGGGTATCTGCTTGTAAACAAAAACATTTTATTCTAGCTTCATGCATTCTTTTTTTTAAATACTTGAATGTGGGTAAGTTTAATAAATAATATAAAAAATAAAATAAACAACATTCTGAACAAAAAGCTGAGAAAAAGACTATGAATTGGATTCAGAATGATAATCAAAACGTAGATAAGTGTCGATCAACACCCCAAAGCTTGACAGTCATTATTACCTCTTCCTTGGTCGACATTACATCAACTTTGCACAGTTTTGATGCTGTTTTATGTCTGATGATCGTGTTTGATTACATGTGGAAGCATCTGTTGTTTCGGTTTCTTCTTCATGCATTCTTTTTTTTTAAATACTTGAATGTGGGTAAGTTTAATAAATAATATAAAAAATAAAATAAACAACATTCTGAAGAAAAAGCTGAGAAAAAGACTATGAATTGGATTCAGAATGATAATCAAAACGTAGATAAGTGTCGATCAATACCCCAAAGCTTGACAGTCATTATTACCTCTTCATTGG